GGTGTAAAGTTTTTGGAATTCTTTATGTATTCTAAATATTAATCATTTGCCAGAAGGTGTTTTGCAAAGATTTTCTTCCATTTCATAAGTTCTCTTCTTCACAATTCTAAATGTTTTCTTTGCTGTTCAAAGCATTTTTAATTTGATGCCTTCCAATATATCTACTCTTGGAATTATTTCCTGACCTTCAGGGGTTCTATTTGAGAAAATCATTGCCTGTACCTATATGCTGGAGTGTTAAACCTACATTTTCTTCTAGGAGTTGTATAGTATTGGTTCTAATTTCTAGGTTTTTGACCCATTTTGAGTTGATTTTTGTGCAGGGTAAAAGACAAGAGTATAGTTTCATTATTCTGCAGTTTTCCCAGCATGATTTATTTAAAAGCCAATCTTTTCTCCAATGTGTTTTTGGCATGTATGTGGTTTTCTCTGTGTTTTCCATTCTATACTACTGGTCAATATGTCTGATTTCATGTCAGTACCATGCAGTTTTTGTTACTATAGCTCTGTAGTATAATTTGACATCAGATATTTTGATGCCTCCAGCATTAATTTTTGGGTTTAGAATTGCTTTGACTATTAAGGGTCTTTTATTCTTCAAGATGAATTTTAGGATTATCTTTTCTAGTTCTGTGAAGAATGTCATTGATATTTTCATTAGGATTACATTGAACCTGTATATTGCTTTGGATAGTCGATGATGTTAATAACATTAATTCTATCTATCCATGAACATGGAGGGTCTTTTCACCTTATTTTATGTCTTCCATAATTTCAATCTTCAATTTTAGAGGTCTTTTAACTCTTTTGTTAGATTTATTCCCAGGTATTTGTTGTTGTTATTGTTGTTGTTTGTTGTTTGTTTGAGGCTATTGTGAATGAAATAATTCTCTTTATTTTTTTTCTACAGATTCATTGTTGGTATATAAGAAACCTATTGATTTTTGTATGTTGATTTTGTACTCAGCTACTTTGTCAAATTTTTTTATTAGCAATATCATTCTTTTGGTGGGGTCATTTGGCTCTTCTCTATATAGGATCATATCATCTACAAACTAATAATTTGAATTATTTGTTTCCTGTTTTCTCACTTATATTTATTTATCTTTCCTTGTTGCTATTCTACTGGTTTTGGAATTGGTGTGTTCTTCTTTTTCAAGAGCCTTGAAATGAAAAATTATTTTTTTATGTGGGATCATTATGATTTTATTATACAGGAACTCATAGCTATAAACTTTTCTCTTAGAAATTCCTTCATTCTTCCCCAGAGGTTGTATTACTATTCTCATTTGAGTTTAAGAATTTTTAAATTTCTCCCTAAATTTCTTCTATAATTCATTTTTATACAATAGAGAGTGTCCAATCTCCATATGTTCATATAGATTTTGTATGGTTCTGTCGTCCAATTATGATCTGCTAGAATATAATAAGTAATACCACTTGTTTTGTATTTGATGAGAGTTGTTTTGTGGCCTTAAATATTGTCTATTTTGGAGAAGGTTTTCTTGAGATGCTGAGAAGAAAGTGTATTCAGATGCTGTTGAATGAAATGCTCTATAGATATCTGTAAGTTCATTTGATTTATAATATTTTTCAGGTCCAAAGAATCCTTATTGATTCTATGTCTGGATGACCTATCAAAAGATGAGAGAATTGTGTTGAAATTACCAAGAATTATTTTATTTGGGTCTATCTGACATTTCAATTTGACCAGTGTCTCTTATGTAATTATTTGGATCCATGTTTATGACTTAAATATTTATAATTGTTATATCTTCTTGTAGGATTATTTATTTTACCAGTATAAAGTGACCAGCTTTGTCTCTTCTGATGAATTTTGGTTTGAAGTCTGTTTTTCAGATATAAAAGTAGATAGTCTTGCTTATTTTCTGATTCCATTTTTTTATGTATCAATTTCTATATTGTTGCATTCAGCTATGGCTGTCTTTATCTGTAAGGTGTGTCTTTTATGAACAACATATCAATGGGTCTTGTTTAATGATCCATTCTCCCTCTCTCTCTCTCTCTCTCTCTCTCTCTCTCTCTATATATATATATA